TTCATTGCTGGTTTCCATGCAAAATGGTGCAGCCACTTTGGAAGACGGTCAGTCCTTACACAACTGAACGTACTCTTGCCATGCAGTCCAACAATCTTGCCTCTTGATGTTTGCCCAAAGGAACTGATGAGAACTTATATCCACATGAAAACCTGCACATGGTTGTTTATAGCAGCTTTATTCCTAAGTTCCCAAGCTTAGAATAAAAAGATGTCTTTCAGTTGGTGAATGGCACTGTGGTACATCCTGATGACGAAATATTGTTTAGTACTAAAAAGAAATGAGCTATCAAACCATGCAAAGACACAGGGGAAACTTCAATCGATATTACTAAGTGAAAGAAAAAGTGAAAGTGTTCATCTCTCAGTTGTGCCTGACTCTTTGCTGCCCCGTGGACTGTAGCCTGCCAGACTCCTCTGTCAATGGGATTCTCCAGGAAAGAATACTGGAGTGGGATGCCATTTCCTTCTCCAGGGGATCTTCCCAACCCTGGGATGGAACCCAGGTCTCTTGCATTGTGGGCAGGTGCTTTACCATCTGAGCCATGAGGAAAACCCTGGGGAAAGACTACATGCATAGGGTTCCAACTGTATGACATTCTAGAAAAAGTAAAACAATGAGGCAGTAAAAAGCTCAGTGGTTTCCAGGACTGAGGGATTATTAGAAGCACACGGAGGGTTTTAGAACAGGGAAACGCTACATGACGTGGTAATGATGGATCTGTGTCTTTACACATTTGTCCAAACCGTAGAATGTGCAACACCAAGAGTTAACTCTAAGGTAAATGATGGATTTTGTGTGATTATGATGTGTCATGTGGGTTCAGCCTTGATAAGAGATGATATCATTCTGTGTATGGTGTTGATAATGAGGGAGGCTGCCTTGTATACCAAGGCAGGGAAGCATCTTCCTCTCACAGTTTTGCTGTGAACCATAAACTGTTCTAAAAACTAGTCTTTCAAACAAAAGACAACACAGACTATTCTATGTGTGCACTACAAATCCATATGTAACTAAAATATATATAAAATTAACTGGTTTTCATTATTTTTTGTTTCTATTTTTAATCAAACTCTTCCTTCCCTTTTAATGATGTCATTTTGATCCCTCCTTTAAGCAGATTCCCTTTCCAGTGCCAAGCGCGTCCAGATGCTGGGTCGTCTCGGGCTTTGGGGTCTCTCTGGCTGTTGCTTTCAGGGTCGTTCCATGTCGCTGGACATGTGCTGAGCAGGGGGACCAGGTGGCCTGCGCCCCAGCAAGCCTGCGGGCAAGGCAGGCTCTGTAGCCCTCCTCGGGGTCTGGGACACCAGCCAGCCATGCGGGTCATCGGCAGAGGTTAATGGGGGCGAGTCTGTGCTGCAGAGTCAGCGGCCTCTGGGGTGGGGGCCTTGACCTTCAGCCCAGGTTGTGTCTAGTGATGGGGGGTCGGGTCCTCACACAGGGCCTGTGCTGTGAAAACCTCCCAGAGCCTGCTCCCCGAGGGGTCTGTCCACCCGAGACCCCGAGCGAGACCCCCGGAGGAAAACAAAGCAAAAGAAACAGGGGCTTTGGGCCTAACAGCAAAACTGCGGCAAGGCCAAGCGGGCCTCTCACTTCCCAGGGCCCAGCACGGCTCGCAGAAAGTTTCTGTTGCTCTTTTCTGTTAAAATTGTGTGCCCCACGTTTCCTTCTCTTTTCTCACACCTTCCTCTCCCTGTCTGATTTTCAGTTCTCGTCTGTTTCCTTTAAGCTTTGATTTTCTTCTTATGCGTGTTCTCCCTTTCTTTTTTTTCCCCTGGTGCTGGGTCGTCTTGCTTAGAGAGGAAGTGTTTTCTGTCTGGAGTGTGAACTCTGAGAATTGCTGTGTGGCTGCAGGTTGTGAAGTGCTGGGCTGCAGTTTCTCTTGCCAACAGCGGTTTGTCCCATGGATCCACTCGCTGAAGAGGAAGCTAGTTTTTGGCGGACATGAGACTTGCATAGACAGAGTATTGCAGTTTAACACAGATGGCATGTCTTATTGTATTTTATAATAAATTGTTTTTTCAAGAGTGGTTTCCCTTCTCCTCTTCTGTCCTCTCATCTCTACTCTTTTTTTCTTTATTGGAAGTATATTTTGCATGTAGTATTATATTAGTTTCAAGTGTACAACATAGTGGTTTAGCCTCTTAACCTCTTTCCTCTGTCTCACCTAACCCCCCATTCCCTTCCCCACTAGCAACTGCTAGCTTGTTCTCTGTATCTATGAGTTTGTTTCTAGTTTGTTTGTTCGTTTGTTTTTCATATGGTATTTATCTTTCTCTATCTGACTTATTTTACTTAGCATGATACCTTCTAGGTCTATCCATGATGTTGCAAAGAGCAATATTTCGTTATTCTTTTAATGGCTGAGTATATTCCATTGTGTGTATATACCTCACCTTCTTTATCCATTCATCTGTTGATGGACACTTAGGTTGCTTCCATCATCTTGGCTATTTTAAGTAGCGCTGTAGTGACTTCAATATTCCATTGTATGTATGTACCTCATCTCCTTTATCCATTCATCTGTTGATGGACACTTAGGTTGCTTCCATCATCTTGGCTATTGTATATAATTCTACAGTGAATATAGGGGTGCATGTATCTTTTCAAGTAAGTGCTTTCATTTTCTTTGGATAAATATCCAAAAGTGAGATTGTTGAGTCATGTTGTAGTTACATTTTTAATTTTTTGAGGAACGTCTGTACTATTTACACAGGCTGTACCAATTTATGTTCCCACCAATGGTGCACAAGGACTTCGTCTGTCCTCATCCTCACCAATACTTGTTATTTCTTGTCTGTTTTACAATAACCATTTTGGCAAGTGTAAGGAGCTGTGTCATTGTGGTTTTGGTTTGCATTTCCCTGATGATTGGTGATGTTGAGCATCTTTTCATGTGTCTGTTGGCCATGTGTGTGTGTGTCTTCTTTAGAAATATGTCTGTATTTATTTCTTTATGCCAGTATCACATTCTTCATTTCTGTAGCTTTATAAAATAGTTTGAAATCATGAAGTGTGATGCCTCCAGCTTTGTTCTTTTCCAAGATTGTTTTGGCTCCATGGTTCCGTATAAATTTTAGAATTATTTGTTCCCTTTGTTCTCTTAAAATTATCAGGGACTCCAAAGAGTCTTTTGTTAATATAGCTTATAACTATCAGTATTTACTGTATTAGAAATTAAAATGGTGTAAAACTGAAAAGACCAGAACTTAGAAATTGTTGTTGTTCACTTAGTTGTGTCCAACTCTTTGAGACCTTATGGACTCCAGCACGCCAGGATTCCCTGTCCTTCACTATCTCCTGGAGTCTGCTCAAACTCATGTCCATTGAGTCAGTGATGCCATCCAACCATCTCATCCTCTGTTGCCCCCTTCTCCTCCTGCTTTCAGTCTTTCCGGGCATTAGGGTATTTTCCAATGAGTCAGTTCTTTGCATCAGGTGGGCAAAGTATTGGAGCTTTAGCTTCAGCATCAGTCCTTCCAATGAATATTCAGGGTTGATTTCCTTTAGGATGGATAAGCTTGATTTCCTTGCAGTCCAGGGGATTCTCAAGAATCTTATCCAGCACCACAAATTGAAAGCATCAGTTCTTCGGCGCTCAGCCTTCTTTATGGTCCAACTCTTACATCCTTACATGACTACTGGAAAAACAAAAGCTTTGACTAGACAGACCTTTGTCAACAAAGTGATGTCTCAGCTTTTTAATACATTGTCTAGGTTTGTCATAACTTTCCGTAGAAGAAGCAAGTGTCTTTTAATTTCATGGCTGCAGTCACCATCTGCAGTAATTTTGGAGCCAAGAAAATAAAATCTGTCAATGCTTCCACATTTCCCCCCTTCTATTTGCCATGAAGTGATGGAACCAGATACCATGATCTTAGTTTTTTGAATGTTGAGTTTTAAGCCAGTTTTTTCACTCTCCCCTTTCACCCTCATCAAGAGGCTCTATGATATACTTTTAAATAACTTCTATGCAGAGTACATCATGTGAAATGTCATATTAATAATTCTCCTGGCAGTTTTGATTCCAGCTTGTGAATCATCCAGCCTGGTATTTCACATGATGTACTCTGCATGTATTTTAAATTAGCAGGGTAACAATATACAGCCTTGACATACTCCTTTCCCAATTTTGAACCAGTCCATTGTTATATGTCTGGTTTATAAGTACATATCCCATTAGCCATGAGAGCCTCTGAAAACATCAGTATATTCCTATATCATGAGTGAATTTCTAAGAATATATATATTCTTGTATAATAAGATTTAAGAAGGTAAGTTAAATCTTAATATAACTGTGAAAATAAGTTTGCTATTGCAGGTCTCAGAGCGGGAACTCCCTCGGGTCCTCAGACCACACTGCAAGAACTACTGCCTTAGATAGCTGGTAGTGATTTACTGAGCGCTCTGTGCTGGTATGCCAGCTATGGTGGTGGGGAGGTGGGAAAGCATTAGAGAGCTTTCTTGGTATCCAGGAATTCATATCACGTGTGGGTTCCTGCTCCATCCACGCAGAAGACGGCTTGTATATCTGAAAGATGAGTTTATGTATATATTCTGTGAAAATGATTTGCTCTTTTATGACTATTAAAATTTCAGTCATTAGGATTACAATCTGTATATTTGATACTCATACCCTCAAAGTGTTTGAGTCCGCAGCCCAGCATCACCACAGAACAGTCTTGTGAAATTGAGCCTTTTGATATGGTCACTACCAAGAAAAACTCCAGCGGGTTCACTTATGTTCCTATTATATGGTTAACCAAGGAAATCTTGAAGGAATAGGTGTGAACAACCATATCCCGTTTTCTATTTATGTTCTGGCCTCTTTCAAAAATCCTTTTCTTATAAAAAAAATGTGGTGTAAAGGTATCATTTACACTCAGTGAGACTATGTTAAATAACATCATTAATCATTTTCATAGAGCTTTCTGGATATCTCTACCCTCACATCCAAGAATTCAAGGACCAAAATGTAATCACATGCTTGTTCTCTTCAGACAGTTTTGAGGATGCTGGGCCACCAAATAGCCAGATGGTCTCAGAACCCGGAGAAAACGTCACGCTCACCTGCCAGCCTAAAGAGAAGTGTCTGTTAGAGGAAATGTCGTGGGAAAAGATCCAGCCCCAGCAGATCGACATCTTAATAAGCTGCAACTTGTCCCACGGAAGAAGTTACCCGTCCAAGTACCCAAGACAGATACTGAGTAACTGCAGCCGCGGCATGAAAAAGGCCTTCGTCACCATTCCTAATGTTACAGGCTCCGACTCGGGGCTCTACCGCTGTGGCTTCAAAGCCAGCACTGGGGAAAAAGAAACCTTTGTGATGAGGCTGACCGTGACCGACGGTGAGTAGGTGGCGTGTGTCTCCAAGCGTCAAAAATGGGAAAAGCCCACTGCTGTGGGTTGGTTTGTTTTGTCTTGCTCATGGCTTTCTTATACAAAATACCTTTAACAACTGAATTTGGTAAGTTGTCAGTTACTGAATGTTATTCTTTATCTTGCTGATTCGTCAATCCCAGATTTAACCATGATGAGCTTTCTGATATTTTTGGATCTGTCATATTCCAAAAATTTTTTTAAAATTCAGTGAATCTGAAAAATACATGGTATCAACGCCCAGTACATTTTGACTATATAATTTCTTTTTTTTTTTAAGTGTCTTTTTTTAAAAAAATTGTATTAATTTAATTGATTGATTTCTGGCTGTGCGGGGCGTTTGTTGCTGCACATGCTTCTCTTGAGTTGCAGCGAGCATTTCTAGTTGTGGTGCGTGGGCTTCTTATCACGGGGCTTCTTTGCTGTGGGACATGGCCTCTAGGGCCCGAGGGCTTCAGCGGTCGTGGCTCCTGGGTTCTAGAGCACAGCTCACTGGCTGTGGTGCCCAGGCTTGGTTGCTCCTTGGCATGTGGGATCTTTCTGGACTGGGCATCGAACCTGTGTCTCCTGCATTGGCAGGCGGGCTCTTTACCCACTGAGCCACCAGGGAATCCCCTCAGCTGTTTAATTTCTAACATTTCAATTCTGTCCAAACTTGCTGACAGTGGTGACTGGGTTTTATCATCCTCGTGGCTCCATCAGCAATGACAGGACGGCGTTCGATTGGTGCCTGCTGAATCAGCGTTGAGTAGAACGTAATGAATGTGGGGTAACGTGCTTGCTCCTTTGCCAGATCCGAGCTCTGGTTCCCTCACTTGTTTTGAGACCTGCGAGCAGGAACAGACTGGCCCTGAAGCTTTGAGACTGACCTTCAGGGCCTCTCACCTGAGCCGGCTCAAGGCCCAGGGCTTATTTTGTATCAGTCATTTGTCTGCTGTGGCATAATGAAGCCCTAAAACCTGTGTGAGAGTAAGAAAAATTGGTATTTCACCTGTTGAAGTGAAAATACAGAGAGACCTGTGCGGACTTGTATAGAAGTCGGTCCAGAGGCCCGAGTTACAGCCTAGCAGGAGGAAGGCTGTCTCAGACTCCCCCCTTCTGCCTCTGGGCAAGGGGAACCTGTCAGAGAAAATAATGTGTATTTACCGATGACAGAAATTGTATTTCACTGTATTTTCACTCTCTGCTTCCTGTTCTCCTCTCCTTCCTTTCTGCTTTCCTTCCCTCCTTCCCCCCTTCCGTCCTTCTCCCCATCCACCATCTCTCTTTTCTCCATTACTTTCACGGGCTTCCGGCCACCTCGTGTGCTTTGGCCTGTGTGTAGACCTCTGAGCCGAGGCTTCCTGGGACGCGGCTGCCCTGCAGACATTCTGCTCACGCTGCCGGCCGCAGCGCCTGCCTGCTTCGGGAAGAAGAGGGGGTTTCGTGTATGCAGCAGCCTCCGCAGCTGTGTGTGAGAAGGATGTTTTGGCCAGAGGTTAGCAGTTGTCAGTACGTGATCACCTTGGACAGCATCAAAGCTTTCTTTGCTTCTCAAGTGAACAAGAGGGTTAAGGCAATGTTGAGTAGGGAGGAAATATTCAGGGGAGAAAAATTAACAGAAGTTCTTCATTTTAAATGGTGACTCCATTCCTTCATACACATAGAGAAAATACTTCTCACCTTAAAGAAATACTCTTGCATTACAGAAGTGTTTTTAACACCCGGCCAGAAAAAGAAAGAATAAAAGCAATCATTAAGTCTTCTCTGGTGGCTCAGTTATAAAGAACCCACCTCGCAATGCAGGAGATGCAGGTTCAATCCCTGGGTGGGGAAGATCTCCCCGGGAAGGAAATGACCACTCACTCCGGTATACTTGCCTGGAAAATCCCACGGACAGCGGAGCCTGGTAGGCTACAGTCCATGGGGTGGCAAAGAATCAGACATGACTTAGCGACTGAACAACAATTCAACAACAGGTCTTCTCTCAGAGACTGAGGTAAGGGAGTGTTCTATTCAGAAATTGTCAAATACAGCTGAAATAAGATTGTGCCCATTATACGTTGAAAGAGTTATTATAAACATCTTAAATCCTAGAGAAAAATGGATTCTTAGGTGGTATAGTTATTTAACTCTAAATAATCAGTAAAAATGTCTTTCACTTATCCAAATATGACTAAATTCCTTGCACAAAGCTATTTCTTTTCTCTGTACATAAGCCACAGACAGTGTTGAAAATGACTGAATGTAATGATCAGTATAGTTAGGGTTCAAATGTTTTGAATACTTGAAAAATGGATCTTTGACATTCAATTGACAGGTTGAAAGAATATCAATTGGGCCCATTAGTAAAACGTTATAATTGACAGAAGATGATAGCTGTTGACTCAGTATTTTTCTTTAATTTCTTTTCAAAATAACTGTAAGTAAAATTGAAGATTAAAAAATAATCAGATGGAAAGCAAAAATAGATCACTTGTGTTTCTTTGATATGATTTGATGATTTCAATTCCTAGGTCTGTTTGGTCAAAAATCAATGTAGGGATGAAAGCAGAGTGACAGGTATGAGATGTGGAGCTGATCTAATTTATTTCAACTGTCGAGGAAAAGGTGATGGTGACACAGATTTTGTAAACTGCTGGGCATCCTTTTGTGAGCTCCCATCAACTTCTTTTATGGGATCCAAAAGAGATTTTCGGGACTCTCTTATTCTACACACATACACAGGCATGTACACACACATATACACACACACGCCTCTTCCCCTGACTTTGCCCACCTGCGTTCATCTTCAGACAAGTACCAGTACTAAAAGGCCACCAAGAAGATGATATGATGTCAATCGATACATTGTATATCCAGGCCTTAACTTATTTTGAGCAGAGGCAGAAAGTGGCAGAAGCATTTTCTCTGCTGAATGAAATGTTTGTTTCCCCTTCTTTGTACTCAAGACCTGGGAAGTAGTCTAAAATGGGTCCAGACTGAGATTTCTGAAATTGAAGCTTGTCTAGACCACAGGGGCCAGGAACAGGGGGAAATGTAGGTATACTTAAAATGACCAAAATTATTTTGGACCCTTAATATCCTCTGGATTTTCACTAGTCATGGGAAAAGTATTTTAACTTTCATCAGAAGGATTTTTGAGGTCTTCTAATGTTAACTAAATAGCATTCTGACTACAGGTGTTTTTATTGATTACAAAAAGAATGAGGATCAAAGACAAGAAAGCAGTCCTCTCAGAAAGTTTCTGGAGAAGACCTGTTTCTAACTCTGCTAAGAAATATCCTTCTCCAGTCTTTTCCTACTAATGAGGGTATTCAGCTGAACCATCAAGTTTCAAATAAGACTTTGATGATCAGAGCAGAAGGAAGAGTTAAAGCAGAACCTGGGGACTTACACAGAAGGCATGGGGAAGGAGGAGTTTGTGGGGGGCTTCCCTCGTGGCTCAGATGGTAAGGAACCTGCCTGCAATGCAGGAGACCTAAGTTTGATCCCTGAGTTGGGGAGATCCCCCAGATAAGGGAATGGCTACCCACTCCAGCACTCTGGCCTGGAGAATCCCATGGACAGAGTAGGTGATTGCAATCAAAAGACAAGGTTGGTGCTGAGATTCTGAGTTATGGGTTAATACAGGAGGTAGTCTCAACTGAATGATAGCTTGATGAAATTCTGGATGTTGTAAAAGAGCAATGAAAGTTACCCTCAATTCTTTATCGCAGGTGGCGCAAGGTAGTATTTCAGGATGCGTCAGTCAGATAGTACAGAATAAGCAAGAGAAATTGGAGACAAAGGAAAGTAGCTAAGAGTTGGTTGCGACAGTCAGTGCATCAATGAGGGCGCTCTCGAGTGGGCTGCCACCGTCACATCCTGGGTCTTTGGCCAAGAAACAGGAGCCCACAGTTTGATAGACAAATTACAAATGGCATATAAATTAGAAAAAGGTACCCCTTCCCTGCACCGATGCAGACCCAAGCTCATGTACCAGCTTGGTGATAGGCCCCAGGTCCCCTACCACTCGGCTGGGCACACGTAGCCTGGTGAAGCGGAAGGTGTTGTTGGTCAGATGAGGATGTCAGCCTGTGCCTGTCACCACCTCCACAGTCACTCACACCTTCCTCCTCTCTCCTCCTCCTAACCCATTTACTCATTCTCACCACAGTTACATCGTTTCCTTTAGAGATTCGGTCAGATCTCACCATCTTCGTGATCTGTAGCTTCCAGTGCTTCCCTGACACTGATCCATTAAGCACCTTTAATTTCTCAAACTTTTATAGCGGGAAAGGTGATAGGCTCAAGTCATTGAACAACTGCATCTGTTGGCAATGACCCCGACCATTACATTAGAAATTACTTGAGATTGAGGATATGACATCTCTGCTTAGAGATGTCAAAGTATCTTTCCAGAGTATGCTTAGTAAGTGTTCTTGACCCATACTGCGCATACCGATATTCCTGTATGTTCTAGTAGGCACTGTGTCCATTTCATTTTCCAGTTTTCTAGCTGCATTGCTTCTGGGTTTTCTTCATCAACACTTAACATTTGAGATTTAGTGACTGCTAATGAAAGAAACCTGAGCTCTCAGAAGGTCCATTGGAATGTTTGGGGAGAAAATCCTCGTGAGTTTCATTTATATATATATCTTCTAAGAAATATATCTTCTTTTTAAACTTTTATTGTTGTGCACATTCTGTATTCAGTTCAGTTCAGTTCAGTTGCTCAGTTGTGTCTGACTCTTTGGGACCCCATGAACTGCAGCACACTAGGCTTCCCTGTCTATCACCAACTCCCGGAGCTTGCTCAAACTCATGTCCATCAAGTCGGTGATGCCATCCAACCATCTTGTCCTCTGTCATCTCCTTCTCCTCCCACCTTCAATCTTTCCTAGCATCAGGGTCTTTTCCAGTGAGTTGGCTCTTTGCATCAGGTGGCCAAAGTATTGAAGCTTCAGCTTCAGCATCAGTCCTTCCAATTCTGTATTAATGGTGTGTA